GGACTTAAAGAGGAAAGCGAGATGCAGGACAGATGTACAGTCTCTGAGCACAAGGTCACCTCAGCCGCCTCCAGACTCCTGGGTGTTGATGCCTACCCGCAGGTACCCTGCTGAGAAAGCCAGATCCAGGCTGTGTTAGCAAATTCCTCCGTTTCTGCAAAGGCAGCAACAAGGCCACGGCTAAGCCAAGCACCTCCTTTGAGAAGGTGGTGGCTTCTGCAAAGGGGCTCAGGGTGTAAGAGCAGTCAGTGTTGCAGTGGAGTCTCTTCTCCTTTCTGCAGATAAAGACTCAAGCTGGATGGTGTATAAGGCTTGGCGAACGTGGCAGGGGATGGAGAGGGTCTCTGGAACAGGGATGAGCTGGCAGCCTCTGCGCTGCCTGGACCTGCAGGGACACGGCAGTGATGGACAGTTACTGTCCTTTCGAATATTGCCATCTAGAGGACCCAGCAAGGACAAGAGCTCCTTGCAGGCCACGATGAGATAAGGAAGAAGAATCAAAAGCTTTTTTTTAATTTTACCTCACATAAATGCTTCCCCAGCATGACATGGAGACGGAGAGCCAAGTGCGCAGGACCGTCTGTGCCTTGGGCATGAGAATACAGGCTTGCTCTAAAAACAGCCCTGTGACTTTTTTGAGGCTGTAGATACCTGGCGTTGGCCCATTTCCCAGTGCTTCACTGATCCCCACACGAACATGGCCAGGTGGTACGATAGCTTGACTGAAAGCTGTCCCTCATCAGCTCAAATTGAACTGAACTAATAAAATGGGGACTATTCAGCAAGTGGCGGCTCTACGCACCTACCAGCGGTGCAAGTCCCCCGCCCCAGACTATGCAGGGATCTGCCTCGTCCCTCCTTCCAGTGCCTCTGAGCTATCCAAAATCTTTTTGCATGGCTGAAACGACTTGCCAGTTCACAGCACAGCGAGCTCGACCCAGAGGATGCCTGCCTGCAGCCGCATGCGTTGGGGAGGGTGGATGCACACCGGCTGGTCCCGGCTACGTTTTGGGCACTGGAGATAGCCCTCACCACTGGTAAGCCCGAGGACCTGAATCATACCATATTTCAACAAAATGATTCATTTGTAAGGGGTGTGCTGCACGTTTGTGAGGGTAAAGAGCTGCCAAAAGGTATTTGTTCAATTGCTAAACTACGTCCTTGTTTATTTTAGTTACGTATGACCCAAGCCTGGGCTGGACGGCATGCATACAGCGGGATTAGCGGTGTTTATTCTGATTGTCAGGATTTTGAGGTGCGAGAGTGCATGGTGGAATTAGCATCATTTCATAGTAAGAAAATAAACACCGTTGTCTCCTGTCCCGCTCCTGTGACTTCCAGCACAGGCCACCCATGACCAGCGTGACGCTGGACAAGCCCTTCTCGCTTGCAGACTCACGGTACTTTTGTGAGCTTTGGCAAAGCCCAGCGTGAGAGCTCAGGCCTCACCACCCCACGTGAGGACCACGGTCCCTTTGGAAAGCAGAACAGACATCCCCTCGGCTGGCCGCTGCTATCAATGGGAGACAAGTGTCTTTCACTAGGTTTCAGGGGCTGTCCTCCCGCAGCAAGGCAGAGCTACGAAGAATGTATTTTTATACCGTTTGAAAGGTGAAGGTTGTCCTTTGTGAATCAAAACTTTCAAAACCAGATTCCTGAAGTTTCCGAGATGCCCTCCATATTGAAGGATTGTAAAGCATTTGAACCACAAACCTCTTCAGCTGCTCTGACAGCACATAGCACCAAAAAAAGGGTACAGACGGGAGACGGAGGGCAGAATCGCCTCCGAAGGACAGCAGAGCAGCTGCCACGAGCCCAACTGCAAATTCAACAAAAACACGGGACATAAAAGCCTATGAAAGCTCAGGAGCCTCAATTTTACAAACACCCCGTAGTGATGCCTCCTGCGCAGGTCCACCCACCGCCCCAGGACGCGTGTGAGCGAGCAGCGCTACCCCAGCGGGGTTTTGCTGTTCGTGGAGGAGCCCGGGAGCTGCAGGGGCTTTTAGCAGACGTCAGCGTCTCTCCGCTCCCCAGCGCCTGTTCCTGCAAGGGAGGATGGCCCCTCCAGCCCACGGCGTTCAGCATCTGCGTCCGTGGCTGCTGCCTTACCCGCTGGCCAAAGGCCGTGAACAAACTAGTCTGAGAAGGTCAAGCGGCACGTCGTCGCTTTGCTACAGATTTATTTCTGTGTGAATTAATGAAACGGTACACACAATTCCAGGGAAAAAAAAAAATCTTTTATAGGCCCATAATCCTTCTTTCACAGTACAACGCAACAGTAAAGGATTTAGTCAGTGTAAACAGAAGGTCCAATAGTGATCATCAGCTATCACAGATCAGCTGCACAAACACCACAACTACGGAGTTAATGCCATTACCACACAAATTGACAGTACTAGTACAAATCATAACTTCACCTACAATGCTTTTTCATGTGCAAAAACCATGAAAATTCAATTTACAGAAGAAGGGCACCTTCTCTAAATCTTTGTGGGAGCTGTAAACTGCCTTCTCGGGGGTGTCTTATCTATTTGGCAAAAGGTCTTGGGGCCTGATTCTCCATCTGCAGCATGCAAGCCATCAGGGCTCTGCACCTGGAAACCATGTATTCTGTAGGCACTCATGTATTCTCTGCTGCAGCAGGACAAGAAAATAATCAGCTGAGGGTGAATCTGAATCATTTATTAAATCACTCCTGAATTTCAGCTTAGGTTCATTCACTCACCAAGACTATTCAAAACAGTCCTGGTTATATTCTGTAGGGATCGTAAGAGTTCACAGGTAACCCATAAAATCATCATTTGTTAACTTTTTTTTTCTTTAATGTACTAATTGAACTTTCACTGGCATCACAAGCTGAGGCTTATGGTAATGTGTTGGCAAGCTTAAAGAGAGCGGATAAATTACTGAAGTCAAAGGGTCAGCGAAAGAGAGGAATGCTGCCAAGGCTACGGTAAACGTTACGCTGTGGCCATCTCGCAGCGCTCAGCTGCAAATTTGCACCTCAGCTGGGGATGGCCTGGGAGGGAGCCCTGCACTGCCCTTACGCTGCGCCGGTGCCCGGGGCCTGGCGATGGGACCACGGGCTTTCAGGGGGAGCAGAACCGTTCTGCACCTCCGGCTGCACCAGCGCCAGCTCTGTAAATTGAATTCATAGTCAGATTATACAGGAAAAAACAAGAGGTAGTTATTTATCATACCTCGTCAGAAAGGCAAAACAAACAAAAAACAGGATGTAGAAGTGATGCAGTAAACCTAAAGTCAACAGGTACCTACTTGTTTGTTTGTTTGTTTTAAACACATGAAGTTAAGTTACAGACATCATATAAAATGCACACTTTATGGAATTCCTGCATAGCAGGAAACAAAGAGGCTAGCGCTAATCCAACAGCTATGTTAACAGCGAGACTGCCATTTACTGGTGCAAGGAAGATGCCCTATCTAAATATAAACAGAGCGTTACCCCCCTTCTAGGGGAGTCCTATGGCAACACTTATACATTTTGTTCAGAAGGAAAAAGAAAGCATTTTCTTGGGGATAAACTGCCAAAATAATTAGTTTCACATCCGTAAATTTAAGGCAATGTTACTTAGACCTGAGAAAATGAAAAAAAAAGTTTAAATTTATTTTCTCAACTATACATATACACTCAAAATTTCAGTATTTCCCTGTCTCCTCCAACTCTCAGGTGGTGCTGGGGAAAACAGCCATGGGGAAACTGCTCTGAGGTCTCAGGGTCGGATCCTGAGAGATGCAGATTTTGTTCCAAGGAAAGCTAACGGGAGCTGCGAGTGCTCAGACTCACCCAGCTCTTTTTCATATATTCTCTTTTTAAACACCTCTGTTTAAGCCCTCTGGAGAGGGTTAACTCCAGAACGGGCCTGTAGTGCACCGGTAACCCTGAAAGGTTTATATAGCAAAACTGCAGCTAAAATAGACAATAAAATTACATACAGTGAATTTCTGTGATTCCCCCTTTTCAGGAGAAAAAGAAGGATGTCAGGGTTAACAATTTCACTGCACCTTTAGCCATTCCCATAACTACAGAGTAAATCCTTTAACACTAGTGTGAAATCGCAAATTGTTCTGTGCCCTTCCTTGGAAAATAAAAATTAAAACCAAAAAAACCCCCCAAAAAATCAACTCGCAAACATTTCTCATTAAATGGTAAGAGACATGAGAGAGATGGGGTGGAGGTTACAGACACACAGCATACTAAGGAGTTATTAAACAAAGTGCAATGATTTTTGACTATACAGGAGGACGGACGGACAACTCCCCTTCAGTACCACCTAGATGCTCAATACCTCTGGAGAGGTCCGGAGGTACTGTGTCGATCTGTAGCTGTAAAGCTTGTGTTCGAGGTTGGCCGGGCTCCACGGCCCCACGTGCAACTGCGGTAGCTCTGCACATCTCAGCCACGTCTGTGACTGCAGGAGAAGCGATTTGCCCGCGCAAAGACACGGTCGCTTCCCAAACGGGAAATTTAGTTGGCAGTTGAGGATTTGATGGCTGGTTCTAGAAAGCTGCTTGAGCCACCACCGAAAGATGGACTCAACCCTAAAATCCGTGCACACCTGGTGTAGTTTCTGTGGGATCACCTCCTTCTCCTAAACACGACTACAGACACAAACCATCCCTCCCCTCCTGCTCCCATCGGAGCAGCCAGACACCCACAGTCCTTGCTATCAGCTTTGGCCGGTGCCTGCCGTTAGCCCGCTAAAGCAGGGCTTGGGCAAGGGGGTCACTAAAAAGCAGAAAGTCTCCAGGTCCCAGATCAGGTTCCCACAAAGCAAACAAGTTTATCACTGGCCGCTGCCCGGCGAGAGAGTCTGTGGGCAGATTTTTCACTGATATTTCAAACGTGACTATCCAAAGATCAGAGATCAAAAAAAACCCCCACCAATCCTCATCTGAATAGAAAGCGATTTCCACTGCTCGCCAGCACCTCCCTACCCTCCTCTCCCACGTTCAAAGGATGAACAGGGAGTCAGCTCCTTTACTTACCTGACTGGGAACTAAAACCTTCGTCAAATCACACATTAAAGAAGCTCACTGTGTGCAAAAGACTCTTATGCTAAAACAGTTCCACCCTACACAGTGCAGTCAACACAGTTTTTAACTTAAATTTGCAGCTTGTTCTTTACAAGTGCTTGGCAGAGAATATTTATATTCTTCTGACACCATATAAATAATATTTATACAGCTTAGACATTTTGAGACATGCATTAGACTTTAGGTAGTACATATTTCTTGATCATATATGCAAATACTACTGTCAATTAAACCAAGCAACCTTATGCTGGACCATGTCTTGCGTTATCCAGGACGTTTGACGGTGGCTCCGAATCGTCCATGGGAAGGACCAGGCGCGTTCCCCGGATTACGAGTTCATGGTCCCCAAAAGCAAGCTCTCGATCGAGCGCATCTTCAGAGCTGTTTCCCACGAACCGCCGCGACGTGCCGCTGGATGCGACAGAGTCGGTGTTGACGGTGGAATCCCCGTAGGTCAGACTGATGTCCCCGTCATTCAAAATGAGGTCAGAGTCATCGTCCTTCAGCTGCTCTTGATTCTGGGCAACAAAGAGGAAGAAAATGCTGTTTAACTCTTCCTGAATAGCTACGTTTGCAACTGCACAGTGGCAGTGAACAAGGAGATAAAGGCACCGAATCAGACTCTGCTGCACTACGACCATAATCAGATGTGCCACGCACACCTCTCTGAGCCCAGGAGACTCGCACAACGCACTATCTTCTCTGCAGACTACCTAAAAGGGCTCTCTCAGCTCTTCTTTCTGATGCCATAGCCAGATACATGGGGAATGCAGTTTTGAGTGGCTTTGACAGGACTAAAATACCCATGACCACAGGAATCGCATCGCCGACCCATCAGAGCCATCCCTGTTTTGTGCACGGAACTTGATGCTGATACTTGGCAGGCAGGGCAAGAAAACTCCTGCCACAGAGAGCTGCCGCTGCAAGGGCCTCCTGGGCATGGCATGGGGCCATGGTGCCAGCACCAGCCACCCGCGGAGCCATGGGAGGCCAAACCTGACCAGCAAACCCAGCTCCTCGAAGAGCGCAGGTGCACACAGGCTCTGCAGCGATGGTGGAAGATGTCGCTGCCTACAGGCTCTTCAAAGCTGCTTCTCATCTCCCTGCCCCGCTGGTCTGCTCAAACAAGGGCTGTTTACCATTTCGGGAGAAAATCAGCCCCGGTTTGGATGCTGGCAACCTTTTCGGTCGCGAGTGATGCAGCTGAAGGGGCTGCAGGAACGGCTCAGCTGCAAGGCTGGAAGAAAGCAGGGGATAGGGAAACTGTGTGTCCTTGCAGCTGGGCCTGGGGAAGGACAGCCGTGACAGCTTCATTGAGCCAGTCACTGAGGAACCACCATGAATACACCACGAATCCCTTCATGACCAAACTGTCAGCTGGAAAAGCAAAATGCTCACAGGAATTAGCTCATCCATCAGCCCCCATATCTGATCTCCCCCCAGGCTCCCAGCTTGATGCTGCAGAGCAGCATCCAAAAGCTACGCAGAAACGTAAACATGTCAAACTCCACCAACACCGTGACAGAAAGGACACCGATGGACTCACTTCGTACGCCTGTGGACTCGTCAGGCACCGGGCAATAGGACCACAGCACCCCGGGAGCGTGGTCGTAAGAGGAGGACCGCTGTGCGTCAGCAGAGGCTTTAGATAGCTACAGAGAGGGTTAAGGAAGAAAGAGGAATAGGGCGCTGTCAGTAAGTCGAGGGGTCAGATGCAGAGGCAGCAGCAAGGGACTCGATGTCTCGAGGAAATCACAGGAAGGAAAGAAACACAAGGCCCTGGAAGCACAAAAATTATAGGGATGAGCAACATGAATGCAACCAAATGCAGCAGGACATGAGCGGACCAGGACACAGTCCCGGTAAGAAAAGGCTTAGCAGCATCACTTGTCCCATCAACCTGTGCCTCTCAGCCTGGCAAATCGCTCCTCCACTAATTGATGGCAAAGCATTTGCAAGGGAGGAGAGGCACGGATCTAGCAAGAGGGCTACAAATGAGAAGACCCTCTGCCCTTCCTGCCCACCTGCCACAGGGATCGAGGACCCCCCTGGGCTTCCAGCCTTGGAAAGCCCAGCTTTGACCTGAGCTACTGCTGCATTCACGGCCGGTGGAAATGGTCATTTCTCACAGCCACAGACACGAGGAGGTGCAAATCAAATATCAGCAGTGCGACGGGAAAGCAAACGCTGGCTCCCCTGCTAAGTGGGGAGCAAGTCATAGAATCATAGAATCATTAAGGTTGGAAAAGACCCCTAAGATCATCGAGTCCAACCGTCGACCCAACACCACCATGCCCACTAAACCATGTCCCTAAGCGCCTCATCTACACGTCCTTTAAATACCTCCAGGGATGGGGACTCAACCACTTCCCTGGGCAGCCTGTTCCAATGTTGAACCACTCTTTCAGTAAAGACATTTTTCCTCACGTCCAATCTAAACCTCCCCTGGCGCAACTTGAGGCCATTTCCTCTCGTCCTAGAGTCAGTGGAGCTGCTCGAACAGATGGGATTTGGCATAGCACACGCCGACCGCCATTCAAGGATACTTGTGATCGAAGTTGTACCACATGCGGAAGAGCCAGGCGCTTTCTGCCTTCGTACTCCTCCTCTCACTCTCCGGGACGCCCTGTGGGAGACCAAAACATTAAGCAGCGGCAGGGCAATGTGCCACGACCTGGATCAGGGCCAGGAGCCCCCATGGGGCACTGGGTTATCCCAGGGGGACATAAGAAGACACACACCTTCCCACTGCCTCTCCAGAAGAAACCTTTGGGTTGCAGCGAGTATAAGGACATTCACACCGTGACAGGCTGAAGGTGCTTCCAGCACCACGCTCTGCATTTAGCAGCGTACAACAGCCTTAGGGAGGTGGTACCAAAGCACAGGGTGACCATTTTTCTGCTAGAGCCTTCCAGCTTCTGGCCCCAACGTTCCAACGTTTAAAGTGCCTCGGAGCCAGTGGCTGCATCCAGACATCACATTTAATAGTGACTGACAGGTCTCACCTCCATTAAATCTCACCTGAAATTTTTGTATGCAAATAATCGTGTGTTATGGGGACTCCTGGCTTCCTTTTAGTCGGAGAAAAAAAATAAAACTGTTTGGAGGGGACTATGAATACAATTACATATTTCACAGAAATTTGGCTTTCAAATTTATGGCTCTGGGCTGCCCTTAGCATTTGACGCTTTCTCTCCAAGAGGTGAACAGCCCAATAAATGTCTCTGAATAAAATGAACCTCCACGGTGCAGAACCCACACTGAATTCAAGTAGGGGCACAGCCACAGCACGACCGGGCTGCAGATGCACAAGTGCGACAGCTCAGGGCTACCAGGCAGGAAAAATCCCGATGCCACAGGGCTCCAGCATTTATCTCAGCACAGTCGGTGGTCCCTGGGCTGCAACATCACTACCCACAGGAAACATGGGGGCAAAAGAGAGGTTGAGGGTACCATGGGTAAAAATGGGACAGCAGATGCTACATAAAATGAGTCAGTAAATGGCATTTCTGTACTGCCCTGGACACTGGGATGAGGCAGAGAGCCTCCACATCATGCACATTTTGGTGTTTATTTCAAACCCAGCAAGGGAGAGACCGAATCTATTGCAGCAGTAACGTGGACTGACTAAACAGTCCAGCGTTACTTCTATGCCCTTCTTTCCAACTGAATAGAAGCAAACCTCATTATAGCCACAGAGAGCACAGAAAAGCCGTGACTCCCACTGACTGCAAACTCTTTCACCAGAGGAGCTAAAAACCCTCCTACAGCTGGAAGGGAGCGGAGCACAGCCGGGCATTCACAGGGTCTCCGACGTAACCCCTGCGCTGACGAACATAGCGCAAATTCCTCTACAGAGGCTGCCCGGCAGCGCCGCACTCACCACGTTCTCCTGATCGGCGTCCACACCGACTCTGCGGAGGAGAAAACGAGCACAGGGTTAGGACAAGCAATGCCAGGCGGGTAGGCACCGTGCTTCAGGGAGAAGGACGCGATCTTCCTCTTGTCTCTTAAAACCGAGCACCTTAACGTAAGAGTGGGATGAGGGAGAGGCCGTGCCGTGCCAGGAGAGCCCCACGGACGCCGCACTCACCGGATATTC